AGTCTGGGCTGCCCTCTGACATGACCCTGTCACATGAGAGCTGAGCCGACACACACTGTAGACCAGGTAAACAGCTCAGTCACAGGTAAGACGCTGATTTTATCATCCGGATCATTTATTTACTCGATCCGCACTTTATTCTTTTTATTTTTATTTTCTTTATCTGAAGATCGTTTTTTTTTTTTCTGATTTCCTCATATTTCACCCAGTGTTTTTCAACCAGCGGCTTGAATTTAAACGAAACGTCTGTCAGATGTTTGGGTTTGATGGATAAGATCTGAAACACGTTCGGGGCCGTGTGACGTGAAGAAACATGAGTAAATCTTCAGCTGGTTTAATATTTTACCAAACACCCAAAACACTTTGTTTTCTAGAATTTCACGTGAACAATGTGCTCTCAGAGGCCATTCAGGTGCTCTAAATGACTGCCGGGGAACACAGGCTCACATTCAGCACAGAAAACAACAACTAATTCCACAGTTAGGAAGAAAAGTCATTTATAGCATAAGTTAGAGCAGAGTTTTAAAATATACAAACATAAAGACAAAACAATCTGTTTAAACTCAGCTGAATAATTGTAAATAAAAACTTATAAGAATTTAATGACTCAGACTGTAAGGAGATTTGTGTGTACCTTCAACCGTGTGATGTGTTTTGTTTTTGCACTCCTTTTTTATAAATGTTTTTTATTTTCATACATGCTCAGAACAGTCCAGGTATTGTAGTAATTCCATCACTGTTGTCCTTTTAGATGAATTAAATGAAATCAGTCAAACACTGATGAGAAGTGCAGCTGTTTGCTGGACAGATGTTGATGCTTGAACCTTCTCTCAGTGTTGCACTGCCCTCAAGTGTTTGCAGCTGAAAGCTGCTGTGAAAAGGTTTGTGTTAGAAAGAGCGTTCTGGTAAACTGTATGAGCTACACATCAACCATTCAGACTCAAACAACTTTTACCTTTCAGTACAAAAGATTACAACTATTTGTGCCAGAAACAAAATGCAAATAATAATTAACACAGGATTTTTTTATTAAGAAAAGGTGATTTATTTCTGTTGAATATTGAAAACATTTTGTCCCAAAAGTGAAATGCAGAATGCACTGCAAAAACTGTCCACCTAACCAAGTTTTAAAATCTTATTTCCAGCCCAAAAAAATATTTTGATCTTGTTTTGAGACTGATTTACTAAACAACTGATTGTGTAAGAATGATAATCTTGTTTTCAGAATGTGCAAGAT